CCGTTTACCAGCCTCTATGTTTTTTTCTTGTTATCTCTCCAACAGCACTAATGAAATCATGTAGTATGTAGTTAGTGCTTGGTAAGGGTTGCCCAAGGTCTGAGAGGCCTTCATTATTAATCCATTAAGCCTGGCTTGGAACCATTACAGCAGCAGGCATCACCCAGAGGTGAAGCTTACCTCTTAAATGAAGAATCATGCTGGAGATATTAAGGGCAGGGCTCCTGCCTTGTCCCACACCCAGTTAGAGCTTTCAGCTGTTGGCTGCAAGGGGAAAACCCTCGGTGACTCACCGGTTTCTTTATTCAGATATAATTGCTCAGTTTTCCAGAGCCTCAGAGTGGGCAGCAGGCTTTACATATCAAGAGATTACCACTCTTGGTGGGTGGTAAGCCAGAGATCCTTCTTCCATGTGTATGTACTGATAAGGTCGATTTTTGGTTCATTTTGATTCAAGTGCCACAGTAAAAGTGTCAATGGCCCACAACTCTGGGACTTGGTTTGGTTCTAGGCCAACTCTGGGAGGCTCGTAACCTCAAGAGGTTTGGCTTCCTACCAATTTGTAGTGGACTAGATGTCTGCAAGGAGTGATCATTCTGAGGGCAGACACACACAATGAGGGCCGATACTCACTCTGCAATCCCTCTTCAGTCTCCTATATTGGTTCCTCTCCCTCTTGCCATGCCCTGTGACTGTGGGCATCTTCTAAGATTCTCCCCCTGGTCCCTTGCCTTTCTCTATACACTTTCTTCAGAGAGAGCTCCTACCTCCTTTTTTTTTTTTTGCCTCAATGATTACTTCTGTGTAAGTAACCTTCTCTCTAGCTCTAACCTTTCACCTATTTTTGAGTCTTATATATACACTCATATGCCCTATTTCTATCTCAAACTCAGTGTGGCTATTCACAAATTCATCACCTTGTCCTAGAAACTGGCTTCCCTTCATAACTTCCTCACTGTTGTCAATGGCGCTGTGATTCTTCCCACCATTCAGGTTAGAAATCTCAAAGTTCTTTTCAACTTTTCCACCTCCCTCATACCCTGTGTTGATTTGTCATTCAGCAAATCTTTATTGAACATATGTACAAAGTATTGAATTAGCTGCTGGAGGGGGAAATATGAGAAGTAGGAGACAGTTCTTGTTCTTAATTGAGTTGAAGACAATACCCAGATTAAACAAGTAAATAATAAAATGAGACAATCCCACTGATTGGGATTAAATCCCTAAATAAGACTAATCCATCAGCAAATCCTGTTAATTCTTCCTTCAAAGTCCTTTGGGAATCGTCTCTCCTGAATTATTGCAACAGAGCCCTAGCCAAAGTCTCTGTCTTCAGTTTCTTCCATTCCGATCCATCTTGGTATCATACTCCCTGATTAACCTTCCCAAAATACTTTCATCATGTCACTCCTTGCTCAAGAAGCTACAATAGCTGCTTAATGACCAAGTCAAGTCTAAACTGCTCTGCCCTAGCTTTCAAGTCTCTTCATAATCTGACCCCACCCTACGATAATACGATAGCTGTCTTCAAATACTTTATTTGAAGGGCTGCCATGTGGAAGAGAGAGTATACTTATTGTGTGACTCCAGAGGATAAACCTAGGAACAATTGGGATGAGTTACAGGGAAGCCGATTTTGGCCCAATATTAGAAATGACTTTGTAATAATGGTAGGTGGTCACTAGAAGCACTGAGATCTCTCCATCACAAAAGTGTAAACAGAGGCTGAATGACTATCTTTCAGTAATGTTGTTGTTCAGTTATTTCAACTCTTCATGACCCTGTGGACCTCTGACCATGGGGTTTTCTTGGCAAAGATACCAGAGCCGTTTGGCATTTCCTGCTCCAGTGGCAGGGACTTGCCCAGGGTCACACAGCTAGGAAGTTTCTGAGGCTGGATATGAACTCAAGCCTTCCTGACTCCAAGCCCAGCACTCTATCCACTGCACCACCTAGCTGCCTTTCAGCAATGTTACGGAAGGGATTCTTGCATTGGGAGGGAAGTAGATGCAAATGACCTCTAAGGTATTTTTAACACTAAGATTCTATGTTTCTGTAATCAACCTGAAATTCTCTGTAGCTACACTTACCCACAACTTCCCAACAAGGACGTTGAGATAATTAGGCTGGTTCCCTGAGGAGAACATATTAATTCTAGCCTCTGTACTTTTATTCCCACCATTCTCTCTATGCATCTGCCCCCCTCATCTTTCTCCCTTGGGCCCTTCTTCCTCTCTGCCTCTCCAAATCTTATTTGTCCTTCAAGTCCCCGCTAAAATCCTGCCATGAGATCTTTCCTAGTTAGTCTACCTTCTCTTCACCTCTCCTCTAAATCCTTTACTATTTAGTCTTGTGTTGTTCTGCAATACTTTAATGAATGTTGGTCTGGTCTACTCAGACTGAAAGCTTTCCCAGAAGCATGAACTGTGACTCATTCTTATCTTAGATTCTCCATGGCAAGATCTTGGTTATGTAGAAGGCACTCACTAGATATCAGCTGGCTGACTTGGATACCCAAGAAGTCCCATAATTAATATGGCTTCCCAGGAAAAGCTCAGCTCTGGGGACAACCCAGAGCTACCCAGACACTTTTGGTTGAGGTAAACCTATATCGCAGTGCTAGGCCAGAATCAAATTTCACTCTGAGGTTGTTGTTCACCTTTAAAAATACTGCCAACAATAATAATTCACCTTCGTGCATCCCACCTTTCTTTTGGGGGAGGGAGGGGTGGGGATAGGTGGGTGGAGGGTTGGGGAAACTGTGGGCCCAGACCTGGAATTTCACTAGCATAGAGAACACCCCAGTAAGGAAACTCTTTCAGCAATACAAATACACAACTGTTCTAACAAAGAGATTTGCTTAGAGCTCTGAAAGGTTAAATAACTTGCCAAGGTCACTTAGCCCAGAGTGGCACTTGAATCTAGTTCTTCTTGATACTGAGGCTTTCTACACCATTATTCCATGCTGCCCCTTAGCCTTTGCGATATCATCATATTCTGGATATAGGCATTGTAGTGAATGGGCCCAAAAGTACATAAACTTGTTTCCTGTCCAAAACCCTAATGCAAGGATGCCTGAACAACTGAAGGTTACAGGGTCACTTCTGGACCTAGCAAAAGAGTTCTGTGACCTTTTTTTTTTTTTTGCTTGTTGAAACTAAGATGTTGTCTTAAATAAATACATATGTATATAACATATATACATATGTATATGTATATTTAAATAAGCTGTTTGCAATAGAGATCCATGGTTTTAGGTACAATTCTTTTTCTTTTCTTAGAAATGCTCATGTTTGTTGATGTTTGGCAAATTCAAAACAACAAAAAATTCAAACAAATCCATTTTAAAAAGCATTTGAACATAATACTTCATATTTTGTCTGACCAGGGTAGAATATGATTAGACTCATTAACAAAGGCAGCATGGTGTAGACAATAGGGCATCAGACTTGGAGTTGGGAAAACCTGTATTAAAATCCTGCCTTAAACTTACTGTGTGACCCTGGGTAAATCACTTAACCTCTCTGCCCATTAGTTTCCTTCACTGTAAAAAAAGAAGGTTGGTCCTTTCCAGCTAAAAATCTAGGATACTATGATCTCCCCAAACTCATCCTCTTCCTAACTTCCCAATTTGTCAAGGCCAGTACCTAGGTTTTCAAACTCAAGTCATGCATAATTCCTCAGTCTTCTTTGTCCAACCAGGTTCCAAGTTTTGTTAATTCTACCTCCACAATCCCTCTGTAACCACACTTTCTAAACTCACATTATGTACTATGCACAGGATGAGACTCTATTTTTTTGAGTCCCTCTAGAACAGGGGCCCATGAACTTAACTGACAACTGCATTTCAATATTATTGGTTTCCTTTTTAGTTGTCTTTTTATGCATTTGAATACAACATTCTAAGAAGGGGTCCATAGGTTTTACTAGGCCGCCAAAGGAGTCCATGGCTCAAAATAAGGTTAAAATGCCCCTCTCTAAAACAAAGAATCCCATTTTTTTCCATTTTCCCATTTGATCATATGCTCATTTCCACATAGCCCATTGGGACTAGGCACCTGGTGCTCTCTTGGCATCATCCCCATGGCAAATCCTCAGGAGGCACCTCGCAGATCTCTAGCACCACATTCTTGTCAACACATAAATAAGTTAAACTCCTGTGGCCACTACTTGGAATTTTTACTAGCTTCTTTTCCCTTCTCACTTCTTAAATTTGAGGGGAGAACATGGCTTCAAATAACCTTTGGAAACGAAATCAAAAAAATGCTGTCTTAGGACAAATAGATCAAGTCACTTTCCATCTTTGTCCATCACAGTGAGTCACAATAGGCAGAAAACCCTTTTTCCTAGTTGACAGGGCCGAATACTGTGAATTTGAAAGAACTGAGCCCTGGGGCCAAGAGTGTGGCTCCTAGATTTCCCCTCGTCCAGTACGGTAGGCCCCCTGAAGGCAGGTGCAATACTTAATTTGCTTTACCAAGCATCCAGGTCAGTATAAACCAAAGAACTGAGGAACTACCTAATGGCACTTAGGTATCATCTGAAGTAAAAAGTTCAGCTCCTCACAGTCTGTGCACCATGTATAAGCACAATGTGAATGTAAAGACACAAAGCCCCTGGCACTGTAGAATTCTTTCCCAGAGGCCTTCCAAGTTTTATTGTAAAACTTAAGATCTTGCAAATACCCTAAAATGAGATAGAGACAAAATGAAACTTTTATTGCAGGGGGGTGTGAAGATCTACAAATCAGACCAGCCAAGCCCCAGGAACTCTCCAGCGTGGCATTACTCCTTTAGGGAAGAGAGACAAGTGGTAGGGCCTGAGTGCCCACCAGTGTGGGTGGGTACTCTAACAACAGCCCCCAGAGCCACAGCTCCCCTCCAAACCAAAGACAACCCACGAAGGAAGAAGAGAACACTAGGAAAATTCAAGGCCCCAGTGGAAGCAAAGGTGGTCAGCAGCTTTTTACTTCCTTTTGTAAGACAAACCCAATGAGACCATTTAATTTAAAGAAGCCTCTTTATTCAGAACCAGGAGAAGGAGCTCGACTTTTCGCTCTATGATCTGGAGCAGGACACCTGGCCAAGGATGACAAATGAGTTGTGGATGTTGTGCTGCTATGTGCGGCACTGCCCTTCCTTGGGGGAAGCTCTGCCGGGCAAGGAAAGGCAGGAGAGCTGCAACACATACTGGCAAGAAGTGGCACTGGTGATGACACCCACATCCTCAGAAAAGCCTTCTCCACCTCCCCTCCAACACGAACCGAAGGTGGCGACAGGGCAAAAGGGGCAGGGCAGTACTGAGCCCTGGGATGATGCCGCCTCATTTCCCAGCCCTTCTCTCCTCCTGGTGTTTGGTGATTAGGTATTTGAAGAACTCGTACACGGACCACGCGATGGCCGTGGAGGGGATCTGGTAAATGACTCTGGCCTGCACCCCTCGGAAGTAGGCAGTCACCCCGCCTACTTGGTACACCGTCCTGAAGGCACTAGCCATGCCTGTGATATGTCCACTAACATTTGAGTTCAAAGCCAAGGATTCCTGGGTGTTGAGCAGTGTTTTGCAAACGTCCAAAGGGGTAGTGAGGGCAGCAGCTACAGCTCCTGCACAGGCCCCAGAGATGACATGGGAGCTGGGGTCGTACTGTCTGTGTGGGTTAAAGTGCTCTTGCAGGAATTCGTAGGTCATGAAGTGAATGGCTTGGAAAGGGACATTCATGGTTAACTGGGTGGTGTAGCTGCGGTAAAAGGCTCCAGCCCCCTCATTCTGCCACACTGCCCGAACACAGTCTGTCACCCGATGGTACGGTGAGTTGTACATCTGCATCCTCTGTTTGACCACTGGTGATGGCCAAAGAAGAAGGGAGAAGAGTGGTGGTGTCCAGATGCAGATTCCCAAGCCAGAAGATCAGCCAATGAAAGAGAAGAAAAACAGAGATGAATAAGCTACCAATTTTTCTGTAAAGAGAGATTGAGAGTGGGGGGATGAGGACATGACAGATCCTTCATTCAGGTCAATTAAAACATCCTTAATGTTCACGGACTTTCTTATCTCTTACGGCTAAGCCGCCTTGCAGAGAACACCCTACTCCCGTTCTTGCTAATATTTCCCTACATCCAAGCTAGAAATGTGGAGGAAGCATGGTCCCAGAGGGCAACAAAGGCTTAGTAGTGGAGGATCACTGGACCTGGGCTCAGGACCTAGCTCCATCTCTTACTAGCTTAGGGATGTCACAGCCTCTGAGCTTCAGTTTTCTCAGCTACAAAATGGAGTTACTGCTGAACCACCTACCTCAGAGTACTGTTGTAAGGATCAATGGCAGACAGTAAGTAAAGAGCTTTGTAATAATTAAGTGCTATATAAGATATTATTATTATTGGCAACAATAATAATAATAAACACAGACCTAACATTCCCAATCCCTTCTCCAGATACAAGAGCGGCTAACTCTGAATACAGAGACTACTTCCCTCCTGGAGAAGCTGCATGAAGGAACGCTGGTACCGAAAGGAAAAGAGCAGTTAGCCAGAGAATTTTACTCTGATATCAGAGCACCTCCCCCTGCCCAGGGAGAGAATGCTGCGGGAGCTATGTGTGCCTGCATGGCTTCTGACCTCATCAAAGCTGCTGAGCTCTGCAGACTCCCTCCACCTGGCCTTGGCCCAAGCAAGTAAGGAGCTATAGCAATACAAGGTAAACCCAACGGTGCCACAGACAAGCCCCATTTATTTCTAGCTATATGGTTGCTTCTGTTCCCTACTGACCCCCTGACTGAGGGGTTAAGCATATTCCTCTAAGAAAAGGAATCCAGACTTCATCTTTACTTCTCATTTGAAGAAACCAAGGATGCTCAAACCTGGGTCTGCGCCCCACAGATGGACCCTAAGTAGGCTCTACAAAGCCCAGCACTTTTCCTGTCAAACATCCACCCCTCCCACTCCCATCCTAGCGATGCAGGGAAACACATCGTTATTGCCCAAGGGGACTGCCCCACCAAGCAGAAAACATGAAGGACCCAAGGTGCAATAAGGGTGTGGGAGAGTGAGATCCCACCAGCTCTCTTCCCCTCAAGAAGCCAAGGGAGTCCAGAAGAGCAGAGACCAACTCCCTATTCAGGGAGAAAGGTGGGAAAATTGTTACCTTCTGCTGGATTCATGGCCGCATCATGGAGTAATGTTGCTACACACCCTGCTGCACCTGTAAATAAGAAAATAACTTCCACATGTGAGGCCAGGAGACGGCGAGCAGAGTGCTGGAGTAGGAGTCAGGACCTGGTTTCAAACCCCACCTCTGACTCTTACTAGCTTTGTGGCATTGGGTAATTCACTTAACCTTTATGGTCCTCATTTCCCTGTCTGGAAAATGAGGGTAATAACAAAGTGCTCTGCAAACTTCAAAGAGAACTGTCTATACAGCTATCTATTTATCACTGTGAGCTGTTATTACTGAGATCCTAGGATGAAGTAGGACCCACCAAACACCAATCACTGTGTCCCAAAAGTCATCCAGTGTGCTGACCAGAGGTAAGAAAAGGGAAACTGAGGCTATACCAAGGCAAGAAATCAGAAGTCAACAGACTTAAAAATATAGAGTTGGATGATCCCATTGACTTAATGGGGACAAGCCAATACAAATCAGCAGCTACACACTATGGGAAGGATACCTCCTGGCATTGCCAAAGCTCTGTCAAGAGGCCCAGGAAGCGTCAATGGATATTACCCAAAGATGTGCCCGGAAAAGACCTTTTTAAGAATGGAATCAGTCAGGGCAGCTAGGTGGCGCAGTGGATAGAGCACCAACCCTGAAGTCAGGAGGACCTGAGTTCAAATCCGGACTCAGACCAAACACTTGACACTTACTAGCTGTGTGACCCTGGGCAAGTCACTTAACCCCAATGGCCTAAAAAAAAAAAAAGAATGGAATCAGCCTCCGAGGCTGTAGCCGCGTGAGCTACCCAAGAGTCGGTTTGATTGTCTGAATAAAGGGAGAGGTAGTGGGTGAGTCACGCAGGGATCTGGCCTTACAGGGCCACCCTGACTTCACAAAGGAAGGGACTCATCTTGTAGCTTCCTGACCATGTACCTCCTCTTTCTAGATCTTCCTGTCTGCACCTCTCCTTCACCCCTCAAACCACAGCATCCCTAGCACATACCACAATCAACTCTTGAAATTTGGGCAGCTACGGCCTGACCTGCCTCATTCTCTTCATGCCCCAAAGTTCCTGTTTTCACATAACTTTCAGGCCTTTTACTACCTCTCTTATAAATTGTTTCTACCCCATTCCAAAAACTTGTTGAAGATTCATCTCAGGACATTTAACCTCTAGTCTTTCTGCTCCTCTGAATATCTACTTAGGGAGTAGCTCCTACTTTCTAGTCGCAGTCAACAAACATCTATCGAGGACCTACTCTGTGCCAGACACTGTGATAAGTGCTTGCTTCCTGTACCACAAGCAACCCTGCCCATGAGACATGACAACTGCCTATCTAAGGAATGACGTGGAGACAGATCATTCCATGAGTGTCCCCAGTCAGCATGGCACTAGAAACTCTGACTCCATGAGAAAAGAACATGGGGTGCAGAGAAGAGGAAGGAATACTGGGCGTGCTGTTGAAGCCAATGGGTTTTTTTAAGAACACCCGAGGAAATTCAAGGTTTGCTGGTGCTTCCCTTCTAATCTGGCCTAATCTTGCCCAAAGCTTCACTTCAAAAATGTTTTGAAGCAGTTAAATGTTGACAGCAGCATAAAGACCAAAGAATAAGCTGGGGGTGGGGTGGGGTTGCAGCACAGGAAGGATCAATACCATTGGCAATATGGCTATTGCCCCCAGGATGGATTACATCACTCAATGTCTTTTTTAACTTTTCATAGCAGGCAAAATACAGGGCATGGGCAGGCCCGGCACCAGTTGCAGTGATGTTCAGCCCCCGCATGGGCCTCCATAGGCCTTCGGTTCGAACAATCCTCCACAGGGCCTCCAACACATTGCGGTATCGAGCAGCTGGGTCTGGCTGTAGGCTCTGCATCCGGGTCTGAAACCACAGAAGAAAAGTGACCTTAATGACGTCAGAGAGCTAGGCATCCTCCCTCAACCCCAACAAACACAAAGGTTCCAGGTAAACAGAAGGGCCTTCCACATGACGTCATGCCATACACATCACTACCGATCTTCAGGAGTGATACCTGGCTTCTGGCTCCAATTCTCTCCAAATCTAAAGGTCTTTCAGAGCCCCGTGTCCCCTCTTACTCTAGCCAGCTCTGAGCCAGAGGGTGGAACAACATTACTCCCCTCGAGAACAGTACAGCTCTAGATTTATAGATGTATCCTTTAGGGGAATCTCAAAATGAATTATACACACAAGAGCAAAGAGGCTCCCTGTAATTCAGAGAGGGAAGTTTCCTCCAACCTCCACTGAATTAGATACTTAATATCCAAATAAACTCAAGTTATCTGAGAGCTCTTCTACAAAATGGGTTTCCAATTCAATTTGACCAATACTTATCTAGTACCTAGTTCCTGCCCACACATTATGCCATCTAATGAGAGAATGGCCAATAGTTCTGACAAGCAGCAAGATGCCTTAGATTCTCTGTGGTTGGAAAGATAGGCTCATGCTGGAGATTTGGTTTCCAAGGGACTGCCTTAGCAGAGAGGGAATTCCTAATTTGTTTTATAGGAGATACATAGGACTATGGTCTACTTGGAAACCATGCTTTCCTAAAACTCTAAAAGTGGTTTAGATTTACTTGGAAAGCAATTCTAGCCAGTAAAGCATCTCATATCATTCTTGTGGAGAAATATGTATTAGACTAGAATTAAATTCAGAACTGGTTGGATTCAAAGAGGGGTTAATGGTTCAATGGCAGTGTGGCAGGTCTCCAGTAGAGTACCCAAGGGATCTGTGTGTGGCCCTGTTGGAACATTTTTATCAATGACATCGATGGCATGCTCACCACATTTTCAGATCACACAAAGCTGAGAGGGATGGCTAGACAGAGTCAAGGTTCAAAAGGATCTTGACAGGCTTGACTGGAGCATTGGACTGGATCTACCAAGATGAAAAAGGGATAAATGCAAAGTCTTATCCTTGAGTATAAAAAATCAACTTCACCAGCACAAGTCAGGAGAGGTGTGTTTAGAGAGAAGTTGTTCTAAAAAAGATCTGGGGGTTCTAGTGGACTGTAAGCTCAATGGGTCAGTATTGTGACGTGGGAGACGAAAAGATGATGTGATCTCAGGCTGCATTAAAAGAGGGTGAGCTTCCAGGAAGAGGGAGGTGATGGTCTCACTGTACTCTACGCCGCTATCAGCCAGATTATTAATTTAGTTCTAGTTACCACAGCAGAAGGACACTGATAAGCTGGAGACACTCCAGAGGAGGGCAACCACAATGGTAAAGAGCCTCAGGTACACGTTACATGAGGATCAGTTGCAGGAACTGGTCATATTTGGCCTAAAGAAGCCTCAGGGAGACCATGACAACTGTCTTCAATCATCTGAAGGGCTTGTTGTGTGGGGGAGGGATTCCACTTAATCTGTCTGGCCCCAGAAGACAGAATCAGGAGCAATGGGGAAAAGTTGCCTGGAAGGCCTCCTCGGGCCCGATGTCAGGAAAAACTTCCTCTAACAACAAGAGCTGTCTAAAAGAAAAAAAGGGCTGCCTTCTTTAAGGAGGGGGTATACTTTCAAGTAGAGGCTGACTGATCCCTTGTTGGGTGTGTTAGTGTTGGGATGCCTGTGGTGTACAGGTTGGACTAGACGGCCTCTCAGATCCTTCCCAGCTCTCACTTTCTGGGATTTTGTGCAATGAGGTTGCACTGAAGTTTCTGTTACCAGCTGGCCAAAAGCCAAAGTGGTCTCAGGAGGCAGAATAAGCCCTGGAAAATAAGAACTCCAATAGTTCTCATGTGTGCCATCACTGAACCAAAAATGTGGTAGAAAATGCCATTCATCATTGGTAAGAATCCTTCTGTGTGGTCCATGAGCAAATGTTAATACAAGTTAAGAAGTTAATCTTACTTGAAAAATCCTTGCAGGCCACAATATCCTCTTGGCAGGTACTCCTCTGAAGAGCATTCTGCAATCCAAACCACTGCCTGTTCATCTGTGTGTTACAAGTAAATGCCTGGAGGCCAGGAACCATATCTCCAGCATCTTCTGTTCCCCTCAGGGCCCAACACACAGAAGTCATTGAATAAATGTTTGTGGTGTTGACTTGAGACATGAAATATCATGTGGACCTGGGATCAACACAACCATCATATTCTTTTATTGTGTAACTGTGGCAACACTGATTCAGAAGGTACCAGGCACATTTACCAATCAGTCAAATTGTGCCTGAATACGGTACTCTGTTTAAAGCTGCAACATTTTAAAATCTAGCTCCCTTTCCCTATTCTTCGAATCACTGGACTCAGTTGGATCCAAACAGTTGACCCTTTGTGTGAATTCAGTGTAATCAAAAGTTGTATCACCAGAGTAAGCAACTGGAGTCCATGGGAGGCTAGATTAACTGGTCACTAATGAGAGCGCTCAGCATTCCACATTCCTCTGCAGTACTTTCCGAATGGACAGTCACTGTGGATATGGCTGAAACCTAGAGGAGTGGAATCCCAGAGGATTATACAAATATATACTGACCTAACCATCACAATAAGCCATTGTTCTTTTCCATGGAAAATACAAGTAAACATATTTACTAATCTTTCAGACCACCCAGAGAAAGAACTGTTTAGATGACCAGTCTGAGCAGTTAACTGGCACTGAGTGGACACGGTTACCGGTAAACAAGATGGATAATAACCCAAACAGATGATCAAAACCTGACAGCAACTCAAAAATAAGTATAAAATTGTGTTAATCAATGGAATTAAGTGGTCACTGGATACTAAGATTTAGAGCTGGAATGGAACGTGGAATTCATCAGGTCTAGCCTTTTCATTTTACAGACAGGTAAGTGCCTAGCCTCCAGAGGCAGGATCTGGCCTCCACATTCAGTGTTCTTTCCATTACATTCCCTCTCTCCAGGTTTTGGACAGAGGTGGGGGGAGGGGGGAGATTTCTAACATTCTTATTGATTCTTGCTGGAGTTAACATTGTATTTGGGTAATCTAGCTTGAATGTATCTTTGAGGAGTTCTTACCACCAAAACAGAGGAAAAGAAATCAGAGTATAAGTGAATTGATTTATTTCAATAAATAAGGCTACACCTAAACCCCATTCAAAAGGCTCATTTTGGTGAATGTAGATGCTTGCTGAGAGGACTCATTTAGAATTTGAGAGAGGTGCTCAATGAATGCAGCTATGCAAGTTTGTAGGTAAAAAAGACCAAGCTTTCATGAAAATGAAGAGAGGATCTTCAATCAAGGATTTTGACAGAACTTTGGAGAGTTCAGTGTGAAAGTGGTTCCTGGCCCCTTCAAAGAAAACAGTCTTGGTTATTACTGCACTCAAAGCCACCACACACACAGTATTTTATCAATATCCCAGGTAGAACCCCATTAGTGGGAATAAACAAATCTCCTGAAATGGTGACATGTATTTAAATTCTCATTCGTTAAAGTTTTAGTTATGCAAAATATGGTCATTGATTCCAGCCCAATGGGAATATGAAGTAAGAGTTTCAGTCATGTGAACACTTCAGAGGAAGTTTCCTTATTCTCACCAACTGGGACATCACTGTAGCTGATATTTACACAGTATTTTTAAGATTTATAAAGAGCTTTTCATGTTATGTCATTAAGGGCTCACAGCAACCCTGTGATGTAGTTGCTATTACTATCCTCACTTCACAGATGAGAAAGTCAGACCTCAGAGAAGTTAAGTGGCTTGCCTACGGCCACACAGATAGTTACTGAGTAGAATCTGAACCCAGGTTCTCCCGACTCTAATTTGCCCCCTCTGCCTCTTAATCTCAGAACGAATAGATCCAGACAATGAGTTCAATCATATTTATGAAGGCTTGAAGTAATTTCATTAGATATCTTCACACTATGTAATTTAACTAAATAAATATCCAATTCTGGATTTGTTCTTATGTTAAAAGAACAAGTATTTTTTAGACTTAATAAGATACGTAAAAATTTTGAATGCCTAGAATACCATGAGGAAAAAGCCATATTCTTTGGACTTTAAGTTCTTATTATTTATATTTGGAGTTGGGAGGAACTTGTAGCCTTCTGCCTCCAGGCACATGACTATATCACTTTCAATATATACAGGGAAGATTTTAGTGTCTTCTTTCTTAACCTGTTAACACAATCACAAGAGAGTCACAGGATATGGACAGGATGGGTCCTAAGATCATAGATTTAGTGCTACAGAACCTTAGAGATGACATAGTCCAGATGAGGAAACTGATGCCCGGAGAGTAACCTAGGCATGTGGGCACAAGTGACTTGCCTATGATTACACAAGTCACAGTAAGTGACAGAGCTAGGATTTGGGCTCTTGGATTCCAGATCCATTCTCTTTCCATCACACCATGCTGCCTCTCCCTCTTCTATCTAATCTTTGTACAGGTCTTTCCCCATGCCATTGGAGAACATTTTTGTTGAGTTTATACCTCAACTGAGGCTGATTCTCAGCAGGCTGATGAACAACCTCTATGAATGCTGTTGGAGAAATCACTTCATCCAGTACTAAGGGCTAGGGAGGTTGTGACCTGCCCAAGGCCCCACAAGTACATGGTTACAGAGAACAGCTGGGATTCAAACTCAGGCTTTCTTACTCTGAGCCAATGTTCTTTTCCCTAGGACTCTCGAAAGCACGGTGAGCATTTCCTCAGATGATGTTAAGGAGGTTATGGGCCTAGGATGAACATGGAGAACCCTGCTGATTAAATGCTTACTGGTTTTGGAGGTACACACATGGGAAACAGTACTTCTTAGGCCCAAAGGATCACAGGATTTGGAGGTCACCTGGTTTGAGCTCCTCATTTGGCTCCTACATCCAAATCACACACCCTTCAACTGTTTGTTAGATTACAGGCTATAAGTGGCATGTCTGGTTCTGCCCTGCGGTGGCTGTGGCACAACAGGGCTGGGTATCTCTGGTTCATGACCCTCATAAGGAGATTTCAGGCTGGCCTGATCTTGATAAGGCATCTGAGGGTTGTGCAGGTTTGGATGCTAAGAGGAAGTGACAACTTTCAGTTACAGACTTGCTGTGAATGTCCTTTGTCGTTGTGGGGTGAGGATGTGTGGGCAGAGGGTTGTTCCCCTTCTGCTTTTCCCCTTCCATTTGTAATGTATCTGCTGGGAGAATCGTCAGGGAAGGCTTCTAGAAGAAAGGAAGAGAACTGCATTTGCATGTGTGTAATGGGATCTAACATCCTCTCACAAAATGTTATCTATGTTTAACCTACTTCTCTCCAGTAACTTGAGATCTAGCACTAAGGGAAAGAAAAAAAAATGTTTCTACTTAAAACAGCCTTTGTATACTTGAAGACAGTAAAACTTCCCTGAGGACTTCTGTTCTCTAAACCAACAAGATGAGAGTATCATCAAGTAGTGAGACCTTTTTTTAACTTTAGAATTAATCCACCTGAAGGAACGCTGTCCTTCAGCAACCACCTTATACTCTCATTCAATTGGTGCTGTCATTGCTTAAAGCTTTCAGGGACTTCTACCTAGAGGACATCTTCAGGGTTGGTTTCTGGGCTGCATGAGAAAACTAGCCTCATTACTGTTATCATCTACAAACAGGCTTACTCAGCCTAAACAGCTACAATGGTCACCAGGCTTCCCTCTGAATGACTTAGGACAACCTCTCACTTCCCAGATTTTGCACTGAGGAGAGTGTTCCAAAGGACAGAGGGACCTGACAGCTATTCTTGGAGGAGTTTGTTCTGAGCAATGGCAGCATTAACTGGCAGCACTAGCCTTGCAAGGTGACACCTCTCATTTGAAGGCAGGCGTTTTGGTCTGCCTGTGAGAAACTAATCTCATTTCAGAGTTACTCATTTTAGTAACTTTCTGAATCACAAAATGATTTTCACTGCTCTTCCTTGGCTTGCTTCTTAATTTCCTGAAACTTTCCTTAAAGTATATAGCGCCTTGAGCTAGATGAAATAGTCTAACAATCTAAGTATAGTACAATTACTTTACAGTTGGACCATGTTACTTTTTCAAATTCAAATGCTGACTTCTTTAGTCTAAATATATTTCATTGTGGGTTTGAATCTTTTTTCAACTGGACCCTTATCTGTTCCATGTTTATATGATCTCTCCTTCTGTAGTTCCCTGCTTGCTACTTGTCTCTCCTGAATTTCTTAGGCTCATAGAATGTTGGAAGGGATTTTGGAAAGCATCTCATCCTTTACAGATAAAGACAGTAAGAACTCATTGAAGGTCACATAGCTAGTTAGTGTCATAGATTAGATCTGGGCCTAGCATCCAGGTTTCCCAGGATAATATTCAACACATTCATTTCTATTTCTCCAATTTATTGAGATTATATAGAATCTTTAACATTTGTAGCATCATAAGATCATAGATTTTGAGCTGGAAGTCACCTCAAGTGATCATCTAGTCTAGCATTCTCATTTTACACTGGGAGAAACTGAGGCCCAGACAGGTTACATAACTTGCCCAAGTTCACAGAGGTAAGAATCAGCAGAGAATCTTCTCCACTAAAGTAACTGTTTCACATTTGTATCACCTCCCCAAGTACTAGCTAGTCCTGTCTATTTCACTGTCATTCATAAAACTTTAACAAGCATGTTCTCTATTTCTTTATCCAGATTACAAATGAAAATATGAAACACTACTGGAGCAAGAGGAGATCCCTGGAGAAGACTGTTTACCATGTATACTCCAGGACATAAAACTAGGTTACTTTTAAGATACAATTCTCTACTTTTCTGTTTGGAAAACAATACTATGTGGGGAAGAGAGCTTGTCAGCTGTCAGCTAATGTCTGATCTTTCGTGATGTAGTTGGGCCTCAGGACACTGCTGTTTTGTCATCACAACTCTTCCCTCCACAACTTGCTACTGTTTCTTTCAATTCTGCCCTCATTTCATTCATCACCTTGACAGCTGCTTCATCGGCCATAACCAATAAACAGTAGGAATCTGCTAGCTTCCACAGCCTCTTTTCTACATGGGATCTAACTTTTTGATTCATTAATCATACTGCTTTGTAATGAGCTGGTTCTGACCGGGGCTGACTTTGCCTTCAACTGAATTGGACCAGATATTCTGGTGCTGTCTCAATCAATATGCTTCAAATACACTAATTTTCCCCTCATCTTCATCCCTGCTTTTGGATAGTGGCAGGTGGCCACAGAAATTCATTACCAGTTTAAGGCCCTGCCCACCTCCCTTGTTGGGGCTGCACACATCTATGTCCTGGTTCCAGCTCAATTTTCATGTTCAGGACATCATGCTCAAGGCATTAAGACACTGGACACCCTCCTCTTCAGACCATGCCAACAGGGACCCCAGAGTTCTGGCTGCATTTCCGATTCCCAGTCCCTACAGGAGGTAGAAGCATGACAGGCCAAGAGTTTCTCCTGCTGCCAAGTCCCAGACTCTGGCTCCTGCTCCCATCATCTGGGATGGCAGAGATGGCAAAGAGTTGCCCAGGGCACATCCGATAACCGGGAAACACCCCCTCCCCACCCAATGACTCGGAAGACCTCCAACCACCACCACCTGGCCATACAGAGAGGGGAGACCCCGACCCCCACCCCCACTCACGCACCTCTGGCTGCCCCTCCCTCCCTCCTTCCCCATCCACCTGGAGGTCCCAGGTCCGACCACGAGCCTTTTAACCGACGGTCTCATTTTGGATAGGACCTCTGTCCTGGGCCCGGTTCGGATGTCAGCCCCAGTTCGAATCAGGTCCCTGCATCAGGTCTCGGTTCGAATCGGATCTCGGAGGCGGGTCTCGGCCAGGAGGGTGGCTCGGACCGGGGCCCGAGATTCCGGTTGGGACCAGGTGGTGCTGGTGGGGGATCCCGGTCCGGGTCTCACCTTGACACAATCGACGGGGTACATCACGCAGTGCTCCAGGATCCCGGCCACGGCGCCCGCCACCATGTGGGTGGTGACAGTGGCTCCGGCGGGCAGCGCCTCGTAGTCCGGGTCAGGCTCCGGCTCCTGCCGGACCGGGGGCCTACAGGCCCCGGCCTCCCCGCCGCCGGCCCCCCGGCCCACGCCCCGCTGCAGCCACCCGTCCAGCAGCGCCGACTCCCCGGGGCTCCGCCCCGGCCCAGTCGTCGGCCCCCCCGCCACGCCGCCGGCCCCCCGCCCCTCCAGCTCCATCCACCCGGGCCAGCTGCGGCTCCCACCCCTGCCGCCGCCGCCGCCGCCGCCGCCGCCGCCGCTGCAGCCACCTCCCCCCGGCCCCGCCGTGTCCGCTCCAGCCGCGGCCCAGCGAGTGCGGGGCCTCAGGCTCCCGCTTGGCCCCCGTGGACACGCCCCCCAGCCAACCATTGGCGCATCCGCCGTGATAGCCCCACCCCGTCCTCAAATACAGGGATGGTGCGCGTTCCATTGGTGAATCTACCCGTCGCTCCTTATCCCGAGGCGTTGCTAGCGTTTGGGATCCGCCCCTTCCCCTTTGATCTTCAGAGCTTCTTGTTTATTAGCCATTGATTGGATCCTCTCCGCAAGTGACCCTCCTCTGTACCCTTTGGAGGGCGGGAGAACTTCACGTTGAGCACTGATAGGCTAAAGCCTCCAGGAGGTTTGGTCGCAGCCATTGGACCCCACCACCTCGATATCTGGTTGGCCACAGAAAGAGAGGGAAGCCTCGCTGAGGGGAAGTGGAGTCGGGTGCGGGCTTCTTATTGGCTCCTTCTTCTACCGGCGCTGCGGGCGGGATGACGTAGGGGGCGGGGCGAGGGCTTCAAGGTCAAACTGCCCAGGGATGCCGTTACAGTCGTAGCTCTGGCTGTTGCTCTGGCTCCTCCTCTCTCGCAGCATTGCTGGCGCTGTCCTTTTTGCTCAGCAGGACTGGGGATGGGGAGGTGGGGAGGACGACTTGCCTTAGGAGGGGAGGCCCCGCCGCCGGTCACCGGGGAGCCTTCCGGCTCACCCCGCAGACGTGCCCGCTGTTAAGTCCAGGCAGGGTCCTCACGCGCAAATCTAGTTCGTGGCCGGAAGGGCCCTGGGACAGGCTTGTGGGCCGCCACTAGAGAGATCATGTTTCCCCAGTGATTTAGTGCCTACTGTGGGTCAGGCGTTGGGGATACAGAGGCAAAATTAACCTGCCCTCAAAGAGCTTACAGTCTGGTGGGCAGTCATGGGCCTGGAAAGCGCCCCCTTCCCAAGACTCATCTCAGGTCCTGCCTTCTGCAAGAGGCCTTTTCGAATTCCCCTGTCCGCTAGGGCCCTGAGGTGATCTTCCAGTAACATTGCATATATCTTGTATTGACGGTGTTAAGATTGTGAGCTCCTCGAGGGAAGGGACAACGTTTGCGCGTGTTGCTATTCGGTAGTGTCGACTCTTTGTGGCCCCTTTTGGGGTTTTCTTAGCAAAGATAATGGAGTAGTTTGCCATTTCTTTGTTCTGGTTAAGTGATTTGCCCAGGGTCACACAACCAGTGAGTGTCTAAAGCAGGATTTGAGCTCAGATCTAACTGACTCTGGGCCCAGTGCTGTATCCACTGAGCCACCTCGTTGCCTAGTAAGTGTTTAATCAATGCTTCATAATGGATGTCAAATTTCAGAAGATAGGATACTTCCACCTGGAACATCAGAAAAGGGCTGTAGGGCACTTGGACTGATCTTTGAAGAAAGCTAGGGATTCTATGAGGTAAAGATTGAGGAGTGCCTTTGAGGCATGGGGAACAGTATAGTAAGACAGTAGGCTTAAGACTAGCATTCTTAGTTTATCCTTCATTTGAAATTGTTGAGTTACTAAATTCCATATCCATGCAAAGGTATGAAGATAGACTGTATCATGTATTTAAGTGAAAGGCTATACACACATCAATTGATTTGCCCACTGGCACTGGTCTCTGTCTGCCAGCCCTTCCCTAAAGGACACATTGGTCTTCCAGATGTACTTCTTAGTGAATTGTAGTCTTAGTCATTGTACCCTTTGCTATTGAGAGGACAGCATAAATGGACAGTTTTCATCTGTGTTGTGAAAATATGTGACTGCCTGTAGAACTTGGTTGGAGCAGTCCTCTGAGGAAGGAGGATAGATGTTCAGAAAAGAGGGAAGAAAGATTGGGTGGAATAATCAGAAGTCAGAGGGATGGAAGATTGGACCTTTGGCTCTCAAACTTAGTGTAGTATTCCCAAAAGTCAGGAATCTGTAGGGATGGGTTGGGACTTGATTTCTGATTTTCTTGGTATAGGGAACTCCCGGGTGAAACATCAGAAGTCATGTCTGGCCTGGGCCTCCTTAAAATGAAGGATCTGGAAGGAACCAGCTAATCAGAATGAGGGGAGTGCAAAGAGAACACGTAGATTATTAGACATACAGAGATTTTCTCCTCATCTCAGGTCTGCTTTTTAATTTTCCCCTAATACGAGGGGAAAGAAGGGAGGAATGATAAGGATGAGCTATAGGAGAACAGGTTAGACTAGAAATGTTGAGGACCTGACAAGACCATATTTAACCAAAAGCAGTAAGTGGGGGCCCTCCTCTTAGTGATCTTGGTCAGTGACCATGTGTTTTTTAACTCAGATGGGTCAAGTTGGCACATAAGTATTTTGAAAGCAGTGTTGATTTGGAACATTTGGGGGATTTATTGAGCAAGAAGATACTATCCTTAAGCCCCTAGGTCACTTCCCTCTCTTGTTAACTTTGAATCAAGTGCCTCAAATATGTAAGTTGTGTTGGATGTTGGGGAAGATGAATAAAGCCGTCTTTTATAGTTTAGTAGGAGAGGTGAGACATGTAGACAGATTAACTATGAGACATATAGTGAATTGCAGTAAAAGGTGCTGTCTGATATGAGAGTTCAGAGGAGGGACAGATAACTACTGGTTAAGAACATTACTCATTGATAACTACTGGGCCTGTGATTTCATTGGTCAGAAAACACCTGATGAGGAAACACTGTGCTGATGCAAACTGGCACCTTCTCCAGTTCTCTCTGCACCAGTGCAAACTGGCACCTTATAGTCTTAGCTGACTAGAGCACTGAGAGGTTAAGTAACTTGTGTAGAGTCACACAGCTAGCATGTGTCAGTCAGTACTTGAACTCAGGGCCTCCTAGATTTGTGGCTGTTACTTGTTACACTGCCTCATTGGACCATAGGATTTAGTTAGAAGAGACCTTTGATATTACTGGGTTCAACTCCAGCATTTTACAGATGAAAAAAGAATGGCCCAGAAAAATGTTAGCAATTTGCCTAAGGTCACAAATTTAAGTAGCAGAGTTGAGGTTCTGACCCAGGTCTTTTGACTCCAAATCCAACACTCTTTCCACTACAGTTGTCTCCCTTTCAATTCCATTCTACTCAAAAAACGGTAAGTACCTATTATGTTCATTCCATCTTGATTCCCCATGGTGTTGTACTAGCTGCCTCCCATGCTTGGAATTCACTGCCTCCTACCCAACTCCTCTCAAAATCCTTTGTTTCCTCCAGACTTAGTTCAGATGCTTTTTTCTGTGTGAAGCCTTTTCTGATCTTTGAACTGGTGCCTTCTCTCCAAAATTACCTTGTACTGATTTTGAATATAACTGTATACATACAAGTCTCCCCTAATAGAATGTAAGTTCCTTGTGTTCCACTTTTGTCTTCATATCCCTAGTATCTAGCACAGTGCCTGACACAGTATACAACTAATAAATGCTTGCTTGATTAATGGACCACCTCCCATGGGAACCAGAGCCAGTCCAGAACCATTTGATTAATACTTGTCTTCACAAAACAGCCACAATCGTACAAGCAATGACTTTTCCTATGGGACCTGAACTGTCATCCCCCCTGGCTGGTGGTGGCAAGAGCATGTCTGATCAACCAATTGGTATCTTCTATCACTGCTCCCAACACCTGACCCCCTCCTATGCATTCTTAGGAGGTAGGGCCGGGAGTGGGACCCAGAATTTGTGTGGCTGGAGCCTGGCTAGCATGGAAATAGACTGACTCACCACCCCTACATGAGGAAAGATACCCAAAGGAGACTTTCCCCAACCCCTATTGGAAAATCCATCTCATTTCTTAGTAATCATGCTATCCATGTCAAGCTCCCTAGGGGAGCTGGTTTCGGTATAGGTTCAAAGCCACACACATAGCAGGTGGCAGCATTGAATAAGTCAAGAAAACAGATAACAGTGAGATTACCTTTGGCCAATATAGTAAAAAAAAAAAAAAGAATAGATCTTAAAAACAATCTAATCTAACCTGCTACACAGTGATGAGTCCTGTCTGTGATGTCCATGGCATGATTATCCAGCCTCTATTTGGACTCAACTAGTGATGTGTCAAGGTCACAACTTGGGAATTTTTGGATAGCTGTAATTGTTAAATTCTCATGTGGAGTTAGAATCTGCTTTCTTGGTAACAGCTTTTGTTCACAGCCCTGCCTTCAGAAGGCCATACATCTCCTTTCTCTCCCACATGAAAAATCCTTCAAACACTTGAAAGATAGCTACTGTATGTCCTCCATAAATATGTTTGGTGCACGTGACTACTATGGAAGTGTTCTGCATGATTAGACATGTATAACCTGTATCAAGTTGCTTGCCTTCTCAATTAGGGTGGGTGGGGAGAGAGGAAGGAAGAAAATTTTGAATACAAAGTTTTAAAAACAAATGTTAAAAATTGTTTTCACATGCAACTGGGAAATAAGATATGCAGGCAATGGGGTATAGAAATCTATCCTGCCTTACAAGAAAATAGAAGGGGAAGGGGATAAGAGAAGTGGGGGGTGATAGAAGGGAAGGCAGATTAGGGGATAAGGTATTCAGAATGTATACCATGGGGAGGGGAGATAGGGAGAAAATTTGGAACTCAAAAATCTTGTGGAAGTGAATGTTTAAAAATAAATTAATAAATGTTTAGTATAAAAATACTTTTAAATTTGAAGAAAATATTTTTAAAAAATATGTTCTGTGGGTTAAACTTCCCAGAGATGCTGCCAAGTCGGATCTTTCCCGTCCTATATGTGTGTTTAAATCTAAATGTATTCCAACAAAGTTTGTCCAGCAATAGAGTATATGCCTAATGTGTAGTAAAAACATATGGAATATCATAATTATAATAAATGATCACAAAAGTTGGCTTTTTATAAAATGTATAGAATGTGTTTATTCAGCATCAATGCCTTCACAGTTCAATATCTTAAATTTTTATCCCTC